TAATGTAGTATGCATTGAGAGAGAAATGAGTATGTATGAAAGTGGTATGGGGTTGTCTAAGCATACCCTGCCTGACTCCACATCTTCTAGTGGAGCTCAAACCTTGAAACATGGTTCAGAAAGGTAGGACGTAAAACTCCATTCAATTCGATTCAAACCTTAACGTTATTTCTTGCTGAAAGATTTTCTATTAAAATTGATAATGATTGTAATAGTAATACTGTATTAGATCTGATATTGAAAGTATTTGTTCGCTGGTAAAATCAGATTTTAATAGATTTAAAATGAGAGTTGACAAACACTATTAGAAATAACCAGAATTATCTGTAATTATTCCACGATTAAACTCTTTGATGATCAAAGACAACGGAGATCTCTTTCGAGTAGACAGTCATTTCCAGTCCTTTTACAACATTAGATGGTTATCATCGTAAAATAAACTTCTCCTACAAACATTGACGATTCTATCTGATCTATTGATGTTGACCAATCAATAGTAACTATATAATCATGTGACCTGAAATTTGACTGCAGGGTAACGCGAGATTGAGAGTCACTGATTGGTTGGATAATTTAATACCAGGTTTGTTCAAATCAAGCAAATGGTAAAGAAATGGCGATAATGGGAATTTTATTGGTATTATTTCTCTCTATTTCTCCGTTCGCGTTTTACTACAAATGAAATTGTGATGGAACAAGGAATGGAAATTACTTGAAGAAAGAAATTGAAATTTTGTTATGAGTTTTTTTTTCACTTAATGTGCATTAAGCTGTTATTGGGGATGAAAGTTTTTTGTGTCTAAGTTAAAATGATTAAAGCATTCCGTTCGGACATCAGTTCTGTTGTAATTTCCCACTGCTAAATGAGAATTTCTCTACATGTACATATTAAGTGACCTGGGGGTCTTATTCTCTAATAATTTAACTTAAAGGGACATATATGCCATTTTGTTGGGTTGAATTGAGTCTTGAATATATGTTAATAGTCTTCAGAAATACTAGAAATGTACGAAAATCAGTTAATTCCTTTGAAAATACTTCTAGGAATTTTACTCACTATTTCTATATATGTCTTTTCTATATATCACAGAGTATCTTAAATTGACGAGTTGTCATTTTAACATTCAAACTCGGGCAATTCTAGACACACATGGATTTGAAGGCTCAAATTTCAATGGTGAACTGTGAACACTATTTATTATTACTGATTAGCTCAGCTAAAAATTTCCTGTTTCTGGGACTAAAGTATGATTAGTCAAAAAGAATGACACAACTGTCCCTTTAAACAGATATTATTCTTCCATTCATCTGATTTTAAATTTCAAATTGAGTTTTATTATCCAATCAGATTGATGTATTTCTTGAAATCTGGACATAGTGTCAGTAAAGTTTTCAAGTTTATAAATGTAGTGGGGCCAGCCCCGTCGTTAGGGTGGGGTCCATGGGGGTTGGGTCCCAGCAAGTGAGAATTAAACCCCAGCAAAACCTTCTTCAGTTCATCAGAGATTGATTAATTTAACCTGTCTTTGTATAAAATTAAAAAGATATACATTTTGATATGTTTTTGGCACCACAAGTTGTCAGAAATGAGTTCTCTGGGTCTTTTTCAAATTTTCCGAGTATAAAATCTGAGCCCCAGTACCAATTCGTTCCTGGTGATGGGGCTGAGTGGGGCACGACTGAACAATACTTTGAGCAAACCAGTGGAAATTTGTAGAAAATTGCTTGACATATTTCTTTGCCTAAACCAGTGGAATAATACCATTACTGAACCATAGAATACAGTAAATTACTGGATATTTCTCTTTAGCTCGTTCTATTTAGTTGAAATTGAAGGTTATAACTAGGTTTTTTTAACATCAATTTATTTCAGCTGAATGAACACAATTTCTATCTCTCTTGCCTAATTGGTTAACACAGCGTAAACTATGGGAAATAATACACAATCAATATTTACTCACTAGGGGGCACTGTTACCTCATGATTGGGTATTGACCTTTGACCTACATGCCTTCGGCTCAATCAATCATATGATATGTTAGTTGAATATGGGAAATTGATGTAACAAGTTTTTAACTTTGATTTAGAGACACAGGAAGCAATATAGGATATTAAAAATAGTTTTTTTAATTGATTCCGTTCATTTTTTTTATCATGTTTAAAAAGAATAGAAAAATTTCATTCAAGAGGCTATAATCATTCAAAATTTTTTCTCATAAAGTGAGTTCTGTACAATTTCTT